AAGTTATAAAGTTATAAAGTTTTAGAAAATTTATAAAATTTATAAAGTTACAAAGTTTTTAAGTTTTATGAGAAGTTTAAATGAAAATTTATAAAGGATCATTCGACAATAATCTTTACATGTTGGAATTGGTTTGCATCAGAAGTTAAAAGAAGAATGTTTCTTGCTGTCTATATCTTTCACAGTTTATAAATTGATTCCTTCTGAGTATTTGATTAATTTCAATATATATTTCACGTACATCCGTTTTAATATTTAGCCCATTTTATTACATATAATTATTATTGCTTGTCAAACTTCATTTATCAAACTTGTCTGCGACTGTACAACATTGATTAGCAAGCGATTATTAATTCCAGTAGTATTTTTTCTGAAGCATCTGATGTATATGTTTGGCTTTATACATATAAGTATATGAAACTTTTTTAAACTTCTCAAGAATCTCATTCAAGACTATTAATAGTTATCAAACAACTCGAAAGCTCTTACCTTCTTTCCAACTGGACTGGTGGAATTATCATTTTTCTTCGCAATCTTCTCCAAATCAATATTCTGTTGTTCAGTAGAATCCTTCGCTTTATCCACCAACCAAGGATCTCCATTCTGATCAACTTCACCCTCGCTGTTACTTTCCTCTTTGGTCTCCGGTGCCGTGGTACTTGTTTCAGTACTTGTATTCATCTTCTCAGTGTGATCCTGCACGACGGTTTTCCTACCAAATATCGTCGTGCCAATTAACATCGTTTCAGTTTCTTCCTTCTGCGTGTCCTCTTCCTTCCTGTCGTCTGAAGAGACTACCAGCGTTACAGACGAGACGTCCGGCGCTGCTGTGATTATTTCTGGTGGGTTGGCGTTTTTTAAAGATTCATGGAACCGTTGATTGCTCTTGGGAGCCTCCTCCGGCTGAACCTGATTCACCGCGAAACTCGGCTGAAACGAAGTTCTCGTCAGTTTCGTGGACCATTGACTCTCAGATCCGTAGATGTCCGCCGTCATCTGACGATCATCTTCCGAAGGCCTCGTCCTTGAAGCCTGGCTGCTGTATTTCTTCGGTGAAATGCTGGCTAGTTGAGTCTGATCGTACTCTTCACGTTGAACTGGCTGCGCCGGGTAGTTACCAAAGTTTAGGATGAACTCGGGTGGATACTGGAAATTCAGAGAAGTTTTAATTGCGGTGGCGGTTTGGATAGGCAGTATTGTTGGAAATGAGAATTACGTATTACGGATTTACGTATATTCATAAATATTCATATTTCGTGTATTTAAGAGGGGCGAAATTGAGGAGCATGTCATCTACTTGAATAGATGAACTGCCATGAAATTTTAATTATTAATATCAGAGATTTCCAGTTAGAGTGAGAAAGTCTAGCACAATGTATTCCGTGAGATCAACTTTAAAATATTATCGTTCTATTTAATCGAAATATTTTTTGTTAAAATGATTTAATTAGAAGTGTACTACATTATACAGTATAATATAGTACGTTATTTAATATTTTTTTATTTAATTTACTGTAACTCAAAATAATACAATATCTCATACAAAGTACTATAATTACTGTTGTTAACTATAACATTGTACTAGAATAATTGCTACCAAATATACTATGTTATAATATATTAATATATTTTTTATCATTATACAAGATACTATTATCAATAGCATAAGTTGTAATATATAATAGTATAGTATAAGTGAAGTGTACAGTAATTATAATTTCTGCGTCCTTGTGTATCCTTCCAAAATTCCAAAATAAGTACCAAGATCGGCAACCATAAAATTTCCATATCGTGAATTACAACGAGCCTATTATTTCTCCCTTATCGCGACCCACAAACGAGCCAGTGCATGGCTGAATTGGCAAAAGAAGCTCTACATCAAGCTGGTGTAGAAACAGGCCAGAAACAAGAGTATTAGTATTACGATACCAACAGAAACTCTGCTCAAATTTCTAATCATCGATTCGAATCATCCCTCGTGTTAAGACCTCCACTAATTCATCTAACTAGTCGCCGGAAGCAACGTTATATACAATATATAGTATACATGTATAGTACTGACATAGCATGTCGAAAACACGTAATTTGAGTTTTTGGTGAACATAGGGACCTCGAGCCTTGTTCAAGATGGCCTGATTAAGATCTGTCAACTTGAAAGAGAGACAAGCTATATCCAAAGTTGCTGTTGAAGATATCTTGTTATGATCTTTCTGCCATGAGATTTGGATACAGAATCTCTGCTTTGTATCTCCAGAGAGATTATTACAGAATTATTTTTCTATAATAGTTGTCTCGTTTTTATACACATTTTATACAAATTCACGTTACAACCCATCCAATACATTGAATTTACGACGTTCCCCGTCGAGTGTACTCACGTTCTCGCTAGAGGCATCGTAGAATTGATGTTCGGATGTTGGATTACGTGCTCCATCGGCGAATCCACCGGCGTTATCGTAATTGTCCTCGTACGGACTCTGTTGTTGCCCTGCGGTCACAGATTGTGGCCGTATAAGCGGATAATTTTCGTCCAATGGTAGCTCGTTATGCGTCTCAAGCACGGATTCCGTTGTACTCGTACTAGTTACGCGTTTTCTACTGGGTCGTCGTATTCTGCCCCTTACTCTAGTTTGTTTCGTCTCGTCTGGTCTAGACTTTGGCCTGCCAGTGTACGTCACGTCCTCTGGAAGTACTGTGGCAACAGGTATTCTTTCGGTAGTCGTGATGATTTCCGGCGTCGTTGTGAACGGTGGTGAAGTGGTAGGTTTCAGTGGTAAGCGACGATTGGGCGCTGGCTGATACTTCTGACGGTTCTTCGGTAGGTGTGTCTGCGGAGGATTCGATTCCACTGCGGTGTCGTCGTTTGCCAGAGATTGCTGCGGCACCTGAATACAGAGAATTTCATTTTTATCTCCTTATTATTATTTAAGTTCTTGTTCCATTCAATTACAATCGTAAGAACGTCATTAATGAATGTAATTCATTTACATTACAATCATAGAATATAATTTTTATGTAAGTCAACAGATTTCTCTCAATTAGTGATCGTTGAATATTAAGGCTTTATATTAAGTCTTTCAACCAATTAAATTTGCTCAAGACCTTCAAGAAACTATTCTATCTTGATAGAAACTTTACTCTATTACAGTACCCTATCATAGTATAAACTTTAAATTCCTCGCCAAGAAATATTTAGAATAATTCAATAGAATCCTAATAAATAAAATAATTCAAACCTTTCACAAATAAGAGAAATCTAAATAAATAAGTTTTCTGTTTGTCGAAGAATTCCAATGTCTATCAATATCTTCAGTCACTTATCTCC